CAGAAGAGCACTCAGATGCAGAAGAGCACCCAGATGCAGAATAGCACCCAGATGCAGAATCGCACCCAGATGCAGAATCACAACCAGGTGCAGAATAGCACCCAGATGCAGAATAGCACCCAGATGCAGAAGAGCACCCAGGTGCAGAATAGCACCCAGATGCAGAATATCACCAAGGTGCAGAATGGCACCCAGGTGCAGAATGGTGTGGGGTTAATGCAGTTAATCCTTGTTAGCGCTTATCACATGCACAGACCGTCTCACTGCTTCTGTCCTCATCATGGTTTCTTATAACTTACTTAGCCATGTCCTTTTGTCTTTGGGCAAATCTACATACATGTACATCACATGCACTGCTTGGAGCACCCAATATGCCACCTGGTGCGCCTGTCTGCGTTCCGCGTGCAGCATGCAAGTATAAGGTACACAGGGCTGTGCGCCTGTCCTGGCTCTGGGTCACACTTACAGCTCAACCATCGAGCATACACTGTATATCACGCCCGTTTGAAGAGCTCAAATTGTTTAGTTGTTGTTTTCTGGCTCTTCTTGCTCAGCAGAAGTGGTTGGCTTCTGAATTATTTTCCCGCCATCCCACCCTTACCATTATCTATAACCAGGACGTCCACTATCGGTCCATTTTCACAATAAATACTGGGTGCTGGCACAACGCTAAAAGGGGAAGTTAAGCCTAAAATCAAAATTTTCACCAGTTGTAGTCTTCGGGGTGCCGACTCGAATAGTTTTGGTCCGAGGAAGCCGAGACCTTCCGTTCCTCCTTTATTCCCAATCGAACTCGCGCGCTCCCACCGAAACTGGGTGACGGCGCCCTACTAGATGAGGATTTGTATGCAAAATGTCACTAAAAGCGCCATTTCGTTCTTATAAAAGCACGGATGACCGCGATTAGTCCATATGTTGTAGTCTTTCGGATGCTGATTCGACTGGTTTTGGTCCGAGAAAGCTGCGATGCAGCGTTCGACCCGTATTCCCAATCGAACATAGTTGAATAAGCGGTCACGTGCTCATGCGTGCACAAGTCACCTGGTCACCTTGCCTGCAGGCTGTAAGTTCTACCCTAGCCCTACAGGCACGGTGACTGGTGCACGCAGGAGCATGTGACCGCTTATTCAACTATGTTCGATTGGGAATACGGGCCGAACACTGCATTGCAGCTTTCTCGGACCAAAACCAGTCGACTCTGCGTCCGAAAGACTACAACATATGGGCCAATCGCGGTCATCCGTGCTTTTATAAGAACAAAATGGCACCTTTAGTGACACGTTGCATACAAACCCCCATCTAGTAGGGCGCAGTCACCCAGTTTCGGTGGAAGTACGCGAGTTCGATTGGGAAGAAAGTAGGAAGGGAGCGTCTCAGCTTCCTCGGACCAAGACCATTCGACTCAGCACCCCGAAGACTACTACTCGTGAAAATTTGATTTTAGGCTTAACTAATACCTCCCATTTAGCGACAATGGTTTAACTCGTTCAATCACTCTGTGCTCTATGTTGAGCCAACACACTCGCTCTATGTTGAGCCACTCAATCTCTCGTGCTCTATGTTGAACCACTCTCTCTCTCTCTCTCTCTCTCTCTCTCTCTCTCTCTCTCTCTCTCTCTCTCTCTCTCTCTCTCTCTCTCTCTCTCTCTCTCTCTCTCTCTCTCTCTCTCTCTCGTGCTCTATGTTGAGCCACATTGCCTCACCCGCAGCCAGCACCCCCATAACTCCAAACGCTGTGCCCTGTGTGTTTGTGTACTTCAAAGTGGTCTAGTATCTGCATGACAGTTGTATGTGGGATGTGGGCTAACATGCAGATGCAGAATAGCAGCCGGATGCAGAATAGCACCCAGTTGCAGAATAGCACCCAGATTCAGAATAGCACCCAGATGCAGAATAGCACCCAGATGCAGAATAGCACCCAGATGCAGAATAGCACCCAGATGCAGGGTACTACACCTCCGCAGCACCTTCCTTGCCTCTTCACTGTCTGTTGTGAAAGCAGCTGAGTAAAATTAATGAAATCCAGTCGCAACTGTGCACAGAGCTCATGTCAACTATGGAAATGTGCAAGTGTTCGTTTGTGAACAGTGGTGACAACTGCCAACGCTGCGTCTGCATGCACAACAGTGCATGAGCAGCAATCACACATGTAGCCTGAGATATTAATGCATGTGCAGCTTTCTTTGTGTAGTTGTCTTTGTGTTTGATTGCTGCGACAACAGTACTTTCCTCGTGTGGCTTTCTTTGCGCTTTGTCTGGAACAGGAACAAGCACACTTGGACCAGCATCCATCTTGAAGTCACCAACAACCCTCACTGGTGCTCCCATTATCTTCACCACCACGAAACCTGGGGTTGCAAAGAGTAGCATAGCCATTGCTGGTCCACAGCAAGTCCTACTATTGACCCCTGCTCCTCAACCTGCTAGCACACAGCCCGCAGTCCTATCAGCACTGTCACCACCGTCCGTTCTTCCACCAGTGTCAGGTATCACGGTAGTA